CAGGATCCCTGCTAATGAGGACTATTCACATGGGAAAGGACTTCAGAACAATCTGCTATGGATTTAAACGGGAAAATGCATATCTGAACAACTTAGAAATACAAGTTATCTAACAGATTAATTGTAATAATTCCAGAACAGGTTCATTTATAACTAAGCGTAAATCTATACAACAATAAAATGAGGTAGTGTGTGCACTCACAGCCAGTTTTCCAAGACAACTGCGTGCACTGCTTAATTATAGGGGAAAAATTAAATCCACATCTTAGTCAATTTATCACAAAACATGACTTTATAAAACACAGGAACACATATTAAAACTGGTAAACTTTATTTGTTTAATTCTTTTGCCTAAGTAACTGACTTAATTCCTTTCCATGATCTTAAAAAATAGCTTCAAAGGCTTTTCAAGACAGTGCTCCTCCTCCAGTACAGAAGTGTGATTTAGTTAGAAGCCTTTTAGAATACAGGTCCACAGTGGAAACTTTGCCTGCTAACTCCATAACGTTTGCAGGTCTGGGAGACTTCACTATAATCCTTTTTATAGTTTGAGAATGCATTCTCAGACCAGATGGTATAAATGGAGTTGGAACGAAACATGCAGATTTACAATTAAAATAACATGTTACCATATAAGAATGCTTTTTAGAGTTTGAACAGCAAAGAAGATGTATGTACACTGCTGTGCATAGTGAAATGTATTATATCTGGTATTCCATAAATCTCTGTAACACATGATCTTTTCTCAACGATTAAATGTATTCATTTTCCAAGCCACAAAGGGATGGAAAAAACTGGTGTCTTCCAAATGCTAAGTCAATTGCTAAATGTGCACTATGAAACCAGTAAAACTAGCCATTATTTCCTGAGTTTTAAAGCTCTTAAAGACTTAGAATTCTAAAGGTTTAGAATATATTTTATTTTTAACTTGAAATAAGTCTTCATTCTATATCACAGCAGTATTTTCTTTCAAGGAAACCTCAGTGACTGCACAGTGGTTGGTATGGTTAGTCTGAAGAGAAGTGTTTACATTAGAAAATGATGATAAGGTAATCACTGCTATGATATTTATGTCAGACTCGGTTGCTTTGTCATAATCCTCGTCAGCCAACTTTTATGCCACTGGTTTTTGTGGAGGATTTGTTTGTTAGGACTTTTTTTCAATGAAAAACTGTTCTTTGTTTTTGGGAAATTAAAAAATAAAAACGAGATTCCAGCATGAAACAACTGGCATTTTTCAAACAGTTCTACTTGCTACCTGTAGTATTTGAGGTCATAAAAACTTTTTATATTTTGTAAGAAAAGAGTGTTTTTGAAATGCTCACTTTTAAAATATAACATTTGAAACTAATTTCAATAATAGTCATATTCAACACTTTATACCACTGATTCATTTGTTTTGATATGAGAAATTTAATTGTGGTAGATAATTTCTATCTAAAATAGAGCTTGGGACAGAAAGCACTAGGGAGTAAAGTCAGTGAAGATAGGAAGTTCATGTTTTGCTAAATTGGCAAGAACAGTAGATCTCAGGTGTTTGTGTTTTTAGACATTCAGGGACAGAGCCAGGGAGGTACTTAGGTGCCCATCTTGCTATTTAAGCACTAATGCATTTCACTAGGCAGTTAGACCTTTAATTTAATTCACTGAGGAGTTAGACCTTTGTTTGGATCTAAGCCTTATTCTGCATGCTTTTTAGAGAAAGCAATGTATGGGGCATTTCCTCATTCACAGGTTTTTCTCTCTCTCTCTCTCTCAACATGCTATAGTTCTGGAAAATATTAACCATGCATCTTATCATAAAAAAATGGCGTTTACTATAATTTGAAACATTTTTCTGTACAAGATTTTGTTTCATAGAATAAATCATGTTTCTTATATTTAATCTCTGAAAATATGGAAAATAGAAAGCAGTATAAAGAAATGAAGGATTCAACTTGCATTGGACTGTGAAAAGTAGCATAGTCTGTTCTTTCATGTGATGAATGTCTTTACACTATGTTTTTAGGGGATGGGTTTAGTGCCAGAATCTAAGGTTTTTATAGATCTGACTCTCCCATAGGCTGTTGAAAGGGAAATGAGTTAACTGAAACAGGCTACTTTGTCTATCAAGGATCTGATCCTTTTGTTCTGTTTTACTATAACATAATTCCCTATCTTTTTTGTGGGTGTGGGGCAGTACTGTCTCTTGCTTATAGCATACCATTAGGATTCCATGGTAGCACGTGAAACCTATATCAAATGTCAGGGAGATGGCACTACTTTGCGCTATTTTATCCAAATTAGTTTTGATTTTTAGGCTGCTAATATGTGAGCTGAGCAAAGCTCCATCTGGTGACTGTCAGCAGTTTCTTGACTCTTTGCCATGTGTTTCTTTAACTTGCTAAATGATATCTATCTGGTCTGGACTCTTAGTCTGGGTTTTCTTCATTTAGTACTCAGCATTTTTACTGGTTCCTTTAGTTTAATATTCATTAATTGTAGAAAGAATGCTCTAATTCCTACCTTGACTTTTCTGTTTGTTTGTTTTGTTTTTTGTGCTCCTGGAAATCCTGTGAGATGAATTCATGACCCTATGCAACATGGACCTGTAAAGATTGTTGCTAGGTGTAGTGCAGAGTCAATCCAAGCAGATTTGTGTTCTACTGAAGCAATTAGGACACTGAAACAGTCAAGTGATTTTATTTATTTTACTTATTTATTTTATTTATTTATTTGACCATCGTTAGCCTCTAAGGTTGCTACTAAAGGTATGTAAAATAGGCCATATTCAATTCGGATCTGTCCCGAATAGGGGACTGTGATTCGATTCGTTACTTTGGATCACTGTCCCTGATTCGATTTGGCCAAATCTGAATCTGAAGGCCATAGACACAGCTTTAAATGTTTTTGCTACATACCTCAAGGTACCAGGCACAGTTCATGAACACTACTATGCTGGGGCGGATGAACCGTCACACAGGAGTGCAGGGGAGGCCCCCGCATGCTTAGCAGCAAACCTGGAAGTGGACCAGAAGTGCTCGGTGATTGGCTGTGGGAGGCCCTGGGTGCCCCCCCTCTCCCCCCCTCTCCCCCCCTGACCCAGGAGGTACCTGTTGTGCTTCTGGTCCACTTTCAGGTCTGGTGTTGAGTGTGCTGGGGAGCCCCCCATGCTCCTGTAGGATACTCCATCTGCCCCAGCA